AACTTTTAATCTGCAAATGAAACAATAGCTGCCTGATAAATGTTGTGGAGTCAAAGTATCACAATATTAAGTTGAAACAAAAGTATTTAAGGGAAAGGGATCTATCGGCTGATATTGAATATAAAATAACCCTAGTGATATTTTCACTAGTGTGTATTCATCTAAATCTAATAACAAATTGTTGATTTCATTTCCCTAGAACGGGTCCTTTATATTCCAATACTTTATATTTTCATTAGGAGCGGGTCCTCTCTATGGAGGCTGCCATTTTTTTTAAAGTCGTCCAAACTGGACAAACTAAACATTTTGAGTTTTTATGACAACTGAAGCTGCCACAGGTTGTCCTTTATGTTTGGAAGGGGAGGGTGAGGTGAGGAGTATTCAACTTCAACATGTAACTTCACCATGTCACTATATTCTAAAAACACTGAACTTTTAAGAAGAGCAAATGTAATCAATATTTTTCACTACTGCAGAAAATAAATGTGTAACTAAATATCACAAAGAGGAAAATAAGGTTATAATTTTAATAGTTTTAATTTAAATTAAAGGATTTAGTAAAAAGGTAAAAAGGGACTATGATAGAATGAAGAATAAGCAAAGACAAATGCAAACATTTTTTCCTTCACCAAATCTTACCTGTTACTAATATGAATGAAAATATATAAATAACATGAAAAGGATTTTTAAAAATGAAAAAGAAAAGTGAGACCAACAGGGGAACTGATGTTAATCATTAACACTCTGCACACTTTTACTGGAATACTTCCTTGTCCCTTCATCAGTGCCATGCGTGCATGAGTCGTTCAGCTCAGTTCACGAAGGCTGAACAGTTCATAAGACAAACTTTATAAATCCCTACCTGTTGCTTCTGAATGAGAGCTCCTGAGATTCCAGTCAGTGTCCAGCTGATCCTCGGTGCCTGATGTCTGACTCACTGTGCCGACAGGGAAACAAGTGGAGGTGAACCAGGCCTCCTGCAGAGACTCCACCCTGCTGCTACAAGGAAGTTTTCTGTCCACGCTCCACAGAGGCACACAATCTCTGGAATTCACCTGCCGGTGTGGCACGTATGCATGGCCACTTTAACACACATGACTCACACAGGATTTTTTATAAGAGATTGTTGTTATTATTGCATTCAGCACAATCATTCATACATGTCAGGTAAATTGTAAATAACTGAAAAATACAGCCAAAATGATCATCGATAACATTTCCTTTTGTTCTTTGGTAACATTCTAAGAGTATATGAACACGTGCAGAAAGTCCACGACTGTGAAATCCTGTATTATCTGTGTGATAACAATAGAAGCAGCAGGTTTCTGTCAGGTGTCATTACAGTGAGTCACTTAATATCTTAACAAACGTACTGGAAGCTGTAGAATTACATCACAGAGTTACTGAAAGGTTGTCAGTGCAATCTAAGTGTCCAGGGTGAACTTTGACGTCTCTTTGTGAAGATTTATGGAGGAAGTCAGGAGAAGAAATGAGCTCGCTGTCCAGAAATCATCATAAAGACCAGTGGGACGAGACAGCAATGTGTGCAATGTTTAAAAACAAGTATGATCACTGGGGTTGGCTAACCCGATTCACAGGTTGTGTTTTGTTAAGGCAGTGCAGTAGTACACAGTGCGGCCCCACCCTTCACAGAAACTCCTCAGATACAGAGCAGGTTTTAAGTCTTCAGTTGTCTTTAGTTTTGAACTCTGCAACAATGTAAAACAATGTGTGACTGTTTTACAAGTTCCTTTTCTTCTTTGTTAATATGTAAATTACAGCTGGAGCCTCAGTTGAATGATCAAACGTTTTGATCGACAGCACTGTCACTGTTATTGACTTAATATTGTGTCTGGGAAATTTGACATGTTGTTTGGAACCAGGCACAGTGTTAAGACTGACAAATGTGTATTTTAAAACAGCACTAAACCCCAATGACCTCTGTGTGCATGGACAAAATCTAATTTTGGGGGTTCAAGAAGAGCTGGAGACATTCAGTTCACAATTCAATCTGTATTTAATAAGGGGAGGACTGAAATGGAGGATGTGAGAAAGGAAAAAAGATATTAAAGATGTTTATAAGTAAATAACTTTTATTTCCTAATGTTTGTAAAAGCTAAAATAACTGAAATCACTGAAACTGAAACCAAAGAAAAAAACACACTTTAACATAAACAGCGGGGACCATTATGTAAGCAGCGCACATATCATATCATGATTGAACATCAACATTAAAATTCTTCAACAAAACAATAAGTAACAAAACAACAATATTTAGTTAACAATGAAAAAAAATGCATTTACAACACATCAACAGTGATATACTCTCTCAACCCAGCACTGGGTTTCTAACAGATTTCTCTGTGTCCACTGTTTCAGAAGTTACCCAAGCAATCTACCTAAACGTACAGATTTTTTTTTGTTTTTGGATCCCAACCAGGGGAGTGGATTCAGTATACTTGTTATGTACTAATCAGAGATATACTTAACAAAATTATACTTGGCTTATCTTATAAAAGTATACAGAAAAGTCTATTTGGCCTATACTTGTACTTAATCTTTTGATCGAGATATACTTAAGACAAGTATAATTAAGTATTCTTGCCTTCTATAGAAAGTTTAACTTGGCTTGTAGTTGTGCTTACTCTTATGATAGAGTAGCTTCTTTGAGGTTGTACTCCAGCATGTTTTACATACCATCTTATAACTTCCATGTTAAAGTTTATAGTAACACATCAGCTTTGTGGGGGAATAGCTGAGAGTAAATAGTACACAAGTGGAACTGAAACTGATCTTATATGTACACAGTGTTATTAACCCACACAGAAACAGATACACATTTGC